TTATTTTGTTTTTGTACAGGTTGCTGGTCCGTCTTCAGGGACTCAATTTTCCCTAGACTAGCTTAGCTCAGCAAGTGGCCTAAGGGCAGGATATCATCACCATCTGTCCCTCATTGCTCCCGAGTCCCTTCTGTAAAATTCCAGGTCACAGGGTGGGTTAAGCAAGAAAGGAGACCAGAAATGAACTGGAATTGGCATAAAGTAAATGTGCTGTGAACGATCATGAATATTGCCAGTCTGCTGTCACAAATAAAGGGAGAAAGCAGACCCCAGATGTGACCATACACGGTCACCCGGGAGCCTGGTTAAGACTCAAAACTCCAGGTCCTCAGGGTGCCTTCCAGAATTTCAGAGTGGCAGGTACAGACATTAACTGGGGTGATGATGGAAAGTTCTAGAAGGGATAGAGACCGTGCTCAGGTGAGAAAGAACAGGAGGAGGGGGTGGCTGGCCAGATGTGGTGACTTAATCAATGTAAAATTCGACTTTGTATCTACAGACCTCTAGATTATTCCATAATAAACAGGAAATACTACTTTTAGTGTTAAAAAAAAAGATAAAATTTAAAGTGCCAAGACAGTTGGCATTGAGGCCTCACCCTGGGTTTTATGGGTTTCCTGGTCCTTCTGGTGGGCAGAGGCCACGAGGGCATGGTTTTTGGTGACCGCGGGCTGCCCGTCATGTTGCACCTGGCAGGTGAGCACCACATCTTCCCTGTGGGCGGATGAGTTCACCGGGAGCCAGCTCGTCCAGTTAAACGTCCCATCCTTGTTCTCTATGAGGTTCGAGGCCGTCGAGGCCGTTTCTGTTCGGGACACGTGTCCGTTCTCCAACCAGGTCAGCTGTAGGCGCTGGGGGTAGAACTTCTTCACTTGGCAAGTGACCTTCACCTGGTCCCCTGCCACGGGTTCCTGGGAAACCTCCAAGGTGGGCGGAACTGAAAGAGCACAGAGCAGAAGCTCTGACCTCATGGAATAGACCGACCACGGGGGAGGGGCTCGAGACCTCAGCTCCCCCCACACAGCAAGGGAATCACCCAGAACGGGACTAGGCATGCAGCTGGTGCTCAAACACGGAGGGTAGTCTTCACATATGAATGAAATCCTTAAGCACAAGCCCAGCACACAGTAGGTGCTCAAGGACTGGTAGCTCCTATTAGGGTAAGAATGAGTGAAATCAAGATACTCGGCCCATGGCATGCAGCCGGAATAGAATAACTAGCAAATAAATGACATCACCAAGCACACGGTGGCGTGGATTACAGCAGGTGCTCAATAATTGGAACTGCTTTGGTAAAGTAAATGAACTACCCAGCACAGTCCTTGGCACATGATAGGTGTTCACCCCCCAGCTGCCATGAAAAACCATAGGAGGGGACCATACAACCAGGTGCAGGGTGACTGGGAGGGTCTGTCAGGAATCAGATTCCAGGCAATGGACCACCTGGGGCAGAGAGTGGGGGGGAGAGGCAGGCTCAAAGCCTTGGGGGCCAGCCCCGGGCTTGGGCTGGGGGTGAGGGGCATCTACCTCGGAGGACCTCAGACAAGTTGGCAGTCCCACGAAGAGGAGGGCCTCCCTGCAGGGTCACGTGGGTCACCTCGCAGATGACCTGGGAGCAAACGTCCCCCGGGGCCAGCACCAGCCTGGTTGTGCTGGAGATGCTGTAAGAAGTGCTGTTTCCCTCCGGGTCCACGGTAATCTGGGAGGCTGCCAGCTCATTCTCATTTCTGAACCATCTCAGGGTGATGTTTTTGGGGGAGAAGCCGTGGGACTTGCAGGTGAAGTTGACGGTCTGCTCAGGTGAGGCTCTGGCCGTGGGACCCGACACCACGGGGGGAGAGGGTTTGGCTACAAGAGGAACATTTATGAACAGTAAACATGACTGTGGTCATCAGCACTAAGGATACGTGTGTGACACTGTGGAGAACCCTCCGCCCTTCTGATCGTGTGGGGAGGGCCGTGTCATCTCCTCATCCCACAGAGGAGGACCTGAGGCTCCAGAGCTGAACTCTGAGTCGGGGAGTTGGCCCAGGTGCAGTTCCAGGACTGAGTTCAAGTCCCCCTTCTCGTCTCTGCCAGGAGACTTCCCACCGATCTGGGCATAGGAACGACATTTCTAGTGGGTCTCACTCTTGGTATCAACCATCCTAGCCGCCTCCCTGCAAACCTCACTGAGTTCAGAGAGCCTGTGCAGCAATCCCTGCGGGGGAAGCAGGGGTGGAGCAGGATCCCCATGGAAGCCGGGACCATGCTGGCCAGTCCACGGGAGGGGTGGCCGTGGCACCGCGTGGCTCTTCCTCTGTGACATGGGACAGCATGCCTTTCTCCTTCCCGGGGTTGCAGGAAGGGACAAGTAAGTGAATGCAAGCTTTTTGCTTAGAATTTATCACTGAAATGCAGGTGGAAAGGAGCAGATGAATCAGAAAAGGGCTGACAGTAACCTCAGCCTCATTATACTGTTAAAATCCCCCTCGGAATATTCATCTCGACCCTAACCAATAGAGCCTGCTTGCCCCTGTTTAGCATCAGGGCTTTGGAAATTATTCCCTGTGATCCCTTATCTGTACAAATAAAGACAACTTTGTGGGTACCAGCGCTCCCCCTGGGTAGTCTCCGTCTCTACCTCACCAAGGAGCCAACCCACTTTGGTCCAGTTACAAAGGGGCTGCTCCTCACTCCTCATTGCCTCCCAGGGGACTTCCTGTGGCCTCCAGCTGTTTCATCCACAACAGAACAAGTGTCTCACCTTCTCCAGCCTGACAGTGTCGGCCACCCTCCTATTTCCTCTGAGATTCTCCACTGCAAGCACAAATGGGGAGGGGTCACTCGGGCTGCCCAGAACTGCTAACTCTGTACAACAGAGGGAAGATGTGGGGTCCCGACGGCTGAGTCTAGAATATGCACTCTTGCTCAGGGGACCCAAAACACCCTCCAGGATGTGCCTCCCAGTCATTCCCAGTCTGCAGAGCCAGGAATGGGGTGCCCAGTGTTGCTGGGATTGTCCAGCCCCTCTGTTCTATCCAGGTTGCTGCCCCAGGCTGCTCAGTGAAGGAGCAACACCACACAACAGGGAAAGACTCCTGATGCTCTTACATGTGAGGAGCCATGCCCTCCAGGAACAGGCTCAACACTTTACAAGATGTTTGCATATCTGTCTGATCTGGGGGTGCAAAGCTAGCCCACCTCTCCCTGTGAGTTTTCTTAATGCTTACTGCTGAAAAAGAGAACAATACAAGATTTACAAGAGTTTCAAGGACAGGGTTGGAACTTTCTCCCACTTTGGCCAGCACAGTGAGTGTGCAGAGAGCAGGGCTGTGAGCCAGGCTGTGGTTCCCTTCCCTGCTCAGGCCATCTCTGCTTAGCCTCAGTGTCCTCATCTGCAAAAGGGGCTGAGATGGTCCCTTCTGACTCCATCCATTCTCATCCAGGGCATCAGCTGTGTGGGCAGCTTGGGGAAGAGGAAGGAGTTTCTCCTAGGAAGCACAGATCTGCCTGGTGGTGGAACCACGTACTAGTGCTGGTGCCCAGGCATGGGAATTATCCCTGGGAACTTCTGTAACACCTGCACAATCAGGATACAGCCACCTTCATGCCTATGTCCAGGGGCTGTGCGGAGATTCAGTCACTATTCTGTGAGTCAGTTCCTGGAATTGCATGAAGCTTTTCTGGACAGACCCACAACAAATGCCCAACCTCTCGCATATTCTCCAACCCGGGCTCTCAGAATAAACATTGAGCCTGTGCCTCTTCTCACTGTGATTCTTCTGAAGCTGAGAGAAAGAAGACATTGTCCCACCTCCTTGCCCTGAGTGCATTCGTCCACAGGAAGGGAAGGGAATGTAAGCTTCATGGGAGAGGAGCCCTAGTCGGCTTTGTTCCCTGCTGCTTCCCCAGCACACAGAGCAGAGCCTGAACACAGCAGGTGCTCAGTAAGTGCTGAGTAGAGAAGAGTCCGCCACATAGAGGGAGCACTCTCGGGAGGCAAGAGTAAGTATGGGTCCTGTGGAAAGAGCCAAGATGTCCATCGACAGATGAATGGATAAAGAAGATGTGGTATATATAGACAATGGAATATTATGCAGACATCAAAAGGAATGAGAATTTGCCATTTTCAACGACGTGGATAGAACTGGAAGGTGTTATGCTGAGTGAAATAAGTCAATCAGAGAAAGACATGTATCATATGACCTCACTGTTATGAGGAATTCTTAATATCAGGAAACAAACTGAGGGTGGCTCGAGTGGTGGGGGGTGGGAGGGATTGGGTGGCTGTGTGAAAGACATTGGGGAGGAGGATATGTGCTATGGTGAGCGCTGTGAATTGTGCAAGACTGGTGAATCACAGATCTGTACCTCTGAAACAAATAATGCAATATATGTTAAGAAAAAAAAAAAGAAGAAGATAGCAGGAGGGGAAGAATGAAGGGGAGTAAGTCGGAGGGGGAGACCAACCATGAGAGACGATGGACTCTGAAAAACAAACTGAGGGTTCTAGAGGGGAGGGGGTGGGGGATGGGTTAGCCTGGTGATGGCTATTGGGGAGGGCACGTTCTGCATGGAGCACTGGGTGTTATGCACAAACAATGAATCATGGAACACTATGTCAAAAACTAATGCTGTAATGTATGTTGATTAACATAACAATAAAAAAATTTAAAGAAAGAGTAAGTTTGGGCCATACGACTGGGCAAGTCACTCAGACTATTAGTCCCTCATCCCTGGACAAGAGGGCTGCTCAGGACTGGAAAAGGTAAGAGTAGTGGAGCCCGCAGACTGGAGTTCTAGATTTTCCCACTGTTTTCCAGCCCTGTGACCTTGAACAAATAGCATGACCTCCCCAGGCCTCAACTCCCTGATCTGTGGAAGGGGCTGAAGTCAGGGGCACTCACCTCAGAACCTAATCCTTAGCTGTTGCTCAGACAATGGAGGGCAATCTTACTGACTTGCTGTCACAACCAGGGGACAAAGGAGCACCAGGCCATACTCACCGCTCACTATGAGTTGAGTGCCTGGTCCAGACTTAAACTCCACATTAGGGGTCCCTTTCTGGAACTTCACACAGTAGTAGGTTCCAGTGTCTGCTGGGGTGATGTTACTGATGCGGATGGAATAGTCCGTGTTGTTTCTCTTTGTGGCGTCTGCAACATTTGTTACTCGGGGGTAGTGGCCTCCTGTGAAACTGAAGATTAACTCCCGGGCTGGCCCTGTTCCCCTGAACCACTCAACCGGCCCAAGGTGGTGCAGGGAGGTCAGGGTGCAGCGCAGAGTGGCCGTCTGTCCAGCTGCGACAGACACTGACTTCTCAGGCTGGACCACCCGCAGCTCCGTCTCACCTGCCACACCTGGAGGGAAAACAAAGATCATCCTGACATGATCCTGGATGTCTCCTCACGTGTGTATCCACAGCTCACTGACTGAGTGCATGTCGTGAGCGGGCCTTGACCTCGGCACATTGCATGTACGTGGCATGCAGCCCTCACCATGAGCCTGTAACGTGAGACCGTATCACAAATGAGGATGAAGACACGGAGACACTCAGGCATTTGGCACAGAGCAGGTTTGACTTTGCAGTTGGATTTCCTGCCTTGGTGACTCGCTAGTCTCTGCAGACATGGAGAAATACAAAATCATTCCTTCTGACTTGAAGTGTCCTAAAAACCAGGCAGGGATTTAAGTCAGGGGAGCAGACTGCTGTGGCACGACTCATACACCCAGTGTTCTTTTCCATTTCTTAACTACTCCTCAGGGAGAAAATCTGTGGTTCACCCTTGCAGAGTGTGAGCTGGTCAAACCCATGCTCTTAGGATTATTTGCAACCAAACATCCCTCTAAGGAGGGCACGTGCTATTACTGGCAGAAGATTGGGGTCGGCAAGCTGAACTGCTAAGACAAACATGGGAAGAAATAGGAATGCACCATGGAGGGAGAAATGGAGGGAACATGGGAGGGAAGGGGTCAGAGGGATCAGAGAGTCAAGAGGGGCCAAGGCAAGGGGAAAACTCTACCATCTGTGTATCTATAATCCTCCCATTTCCATCACTGGCCCCAGCCTTGCCCTGAACTACGATTTGTATGTCCAAACACCATTTGACTTTTTTCTCAGATAGAAGTCAACCTGTCACAGTAACATGTCCTAAAACGAACTCAGTTTCCCATACATGCTTGCATATCTCAGCTGAGGCACCTCTATTTTCCCAGATGCTTAGGTTGCAACCCTTGGGTGCCTTTCTTTCCCACCTCAAGTCCTATGCACCAGGACACCTAAGGGCTCCCCTGCTGCATGCACCCACAATCTGACCTCTTTCCCCTTCCTCCTGGCTGCTGTCTTGCTGCTTTTCCTCCTTTGCACGGATGCAATGAGCTCTTGAGTGCTCTAGCTGCTTCTATCTATGCCCTGTGGTACTCCATTCCCAAACAAATGCTAGAATAATGTAAAACTCAGGCCAGATCATGTCACTTCCGTCTTCCAAACCTTGCAAAAGCCACCATTTCATTCAGAATAAAAGCCCAGATCCTTGAGCAGAGCAAGAGGATTCTACTCTCATGCTGTTCCCATGCTGTCCAGGAAGGCTCTTCCCCCAGAAAATCACATGGCTCACTCCCCGACCTTCTTACAATCTCTGCTCAATTCTACCTTCTCAATGATGCCCACCCAGGCTGCCCGTTCAAATACATCTTACCCTGAAGATTCTCTCATTGTCGTAACCAGCTGTACTGTCATGTGTTTTCCTTCACACTCATCACTTTCTGTATTCTATGTTATTTACTGATTTGTTGTGTCTATTGTCTCCTGTCCTTTCCTCCACGATGATAGGACTTCTACGAAGGCCACTTCTTTGTCTCTTTTATCCATCAATATGCCCTATGTTCATGTAACAGTTCTTGTCCCCTAGTAGGTATATAGTTAATATTTGTATAATGTGTGAATTGCCCAATGTGACCCCTATCTGACACCAGGAAGTCTATTTTCAGTGGAGAATTTCTCAGGACATTATATCAGAAGCTGAGTTTCCCACATAGATGACTTGGAGGAAAGAAACAGTTGCATATACCCAGAAAGCAGAGGCACCTGAGAAAAGCAAAGTCCAAATGTTCTTCACCACACCAAACCCTTCCCCACACTGATTGGAAGATCTGCAGAAATCTCATGGGATGGTAGTGGGGCCATAGGGTTTGAAAAGAGCAATGGTTAGACCTGTGAGATCCAGAATCAGACTGCCTCAGTTCAAAGCCTAACCCTACCATTTATACTGAGTGACCTTGGACTTTTCTGTGCCTCCTTTTCTTATCTGCAAGGTAGGGGTAACAAGAATGTCTACCTTGGATGCAAAGATCACATGACATAATGGACATAGGCATTTCCAGGTGTGTGTGGCACATGGTGAGTGCTCAGGAACTTAAAAAGTTTTTTTTACTTTTATTATGTTAGTCACCATACAATACATCATTAGTTTTTGATGTGGTGATCCACGATCCATTGTTTTCGTATAACACCCAGTGCTCCATGCAGTACGTTATCACTTATGAGATTTCCTGAGGCAAGGAGACATCAGTGGACACTAGTTGTTGGGATCGTGATATGCATATGGATATAATTACAGATGCAGTTCACACAAGCAGGAGTCTCCGAATTTTTATTCCTTTCTTTCCCCGCCCGCTTGAATCCAGCGTGGACAGATCTCTAAGGTAGTAATGCACAAGGTTCTACTCGTTTTACCAAGAGAGAAGTTTGTTTAACTTAAGAGGTTGGTGGAGGGTGAGAGGTAGGTTTAGAGAATTAAAAAAAGGGGTGAGTAGCTGAGAGAGTACCAAACATCAGTTTAATGTGCATCTCACATAGACTAGATGTGACATGAGGAGAAAAAGCTGTGTTTTCAAAAATCCCTTGTGTGTGCCTAGATGCATATGTGTACCTTTCCCTATGCCCACTCCTACACACACACACACGCACACACACACACACACACGTAATTGCATTCCCTGTATATGGAAAGTGTAGCCAGGCATGCTAATATACAGATTGTTTTGAGGATTAAGTGAAATTATAATACATGTTAAACTTCAGTAACAATTTTGGCATATTGGAAACATCCAACACATCATTAAGAAAAGTTTGTGAGTACACACAGCACAAGTGGAATGCAGGAGACCTCTGAGTGTGATAAGTGTTGGCTATTTTTCAGTTTGCCTCTCTGTGTTTTCTGATGTTTCTGCAATTAGCCTCCACTGAGGAACCAAGCAGCATAAGATGGTGAACAGAATGAACTGTTGAGTTGAGTGGCCTGGACAGGAATCCCAGCTGCTCCACTGACGTAGGTAGGTGACACTGGGCTGGTTCCTCACTCTGCCTCAGTTTCCCCATCTGCAAATCAGGAGTACAGTCTGAGCTATCAGGCAGGGATGTTGTGACTATTAGATCAATGAGCACACACAAAGTTGTCATTGTTACCAATTGCATTGACTATCTGGACGCCTCTGGTAACCAGCTGCAGGTGATGGATCCATAGAGGAAATGCTCAGATCCCTGACTTCATGC